CGCCCACCTCCTCTGGCCTGTCACCATGGCAACCTATCTCTCTCAGCTAGGTCATGGCTACAATGTAAAGCATAAACACAGTTTAAAACACAGTTATAATAATCACTTCTCTACACTTGCCCAGCTCTCCTTCTTCATCCTCATAGGGCTTGTTCTCCAGACCCCTGATCATTTTAGTCGCCCTCCTCTGGACACATTCCAGCTTGTCAATATCTCTCTGACCTGGTTTGGTGCCCAGAACCTGGAAAACATTGTTGGGACAGTTGGCCTGCCATATTCATGTATTCTGCATCCACAGATTATACTATCCATGGGTTGAAAACATTGATTTTGCCATTTTTGTACAATATATCATTTTACTGTGCATTCCACAGTCATTCCCTGGGGTTAGGGGCACAAGACCCCCATTAAAGTGAAAAACTGTGAATAAAGAAATTGCTGAGGATGCCCGCCATAGATGCAGGCAAAATGTCAGGAGAGAATGCTTCTACAACATGGCAATGTAGCCTGAAGAACCTACAACAACCCAAATAAATTGCTATTTTTATTTGAGAAGACACCTCTTTGGAAATTTCTAGGACTTCCAGAATGACCCTGTAGTGTACTCCTGCTGGAAGTTGGCCATATAATTGCATTCGTGAACCTAGAGATTCACAGAGATGATATCTTTAGAAATCTCTAGATCTTCTAGCATGACTGGAGAAAGTTGTCTATAGAGTCCCAACCAATGGAGGTCCTTGAGATTCCTTGTTAATCAAATCAATGAATAATCAAATCTGCAAAAGTCAAAAGCACAAATGCATAGGGATGAACTTATATAATGGGACTTGAGTATCCATATCCATGAATTTTGCTATCCATGGAAGGGATGTGTGTCCTAGAACCAAATACGAGCGGATGCCAAGGACCTACTGTATCCTTATTTCTTACTTACAGGTTTTTATGGTTATTCACATATTAAATCATGTATATGAATACTTTGGGCCTGTCAATTTGAATTAGTCATTGTTGTGACCCATTCTTGAATGGAAGAGAGAACATATCAGTCATAGATTTCTGAATTATTCTGCAGGAAACAAGAGGAGCGTGTGCAGCAGGTACGCAAAAAACTGGAGGAGGCGTTAATGGCAGACATCTTGTCACGAGATACAGATGCAGATGCAGGTGACTTGGATGAGGTTGAGATGGACAATGGAGAAGAAGCATAAAATCAAAGAATCAGGTACATTCCACGCTCCAGAAGAAAACAAAATCTGAGGAAGGACCACATTGTGTATTTGCTCTTCAGTTCCGCCAAATATGAAGTGCCAGCAATTTGTTATAAGTGGAAAATAGAACTGGGAAATGACTTGGCCTTTCTCTTCTAGGGTTGCATAATGCTACAGACTAGAAGGCCAAAAATAAAGAAGGGGAATAGACCTTGATAAAGCACAGACTTTGTATAAAGCTCTACTGTAGTCTGCTGAAAGGAGTTTTAGACATTCTTTGGTGTACAGCAATGGCAACTGATCTTGCAAGGATTCTACCTCTTCTACAAGAAGGACAGGAAGATCTGGTCCTCCAGAGGATGTTGGATTTCTCCTTCCATAAACCTAGCCAACATAGCCAATGGTGGTGGATTTGGGGAGCTGCAGGCCAGGCCACATGTTCCCCACCCTACAACAGTGTCTTATTCAAGAACGTTCATATGCCCCTTGCTTGAGAGATGCTTCAGAGATGCACAAGTGCTGGATAAGGAAGGGGTCCATCTCCCCCGTCTGTTGAAGTCAGAATGGCAAAGATTCCTCATAGGCTGCTTTGCTCTGTGGCCACAAAAATATTAAGATTTCAGTGTCATGTTACTTTTAGATTTTTGATCTATTTTAGAGCAAATTCCACATGTGTTTGGCAATTTGGAACAAGCAATTTCAGCGGGCTCTTGTGGTACCTCTTGTGGTACCTCTGAGTAACCACCACTTCTGAAATCTTGGCTTTACCTTCTCCTCCTCCTTTGCTTCAGTTCTCCATTTATAGGTTTTCCTATAGTGTGGTTACCTTTCTGTATTAGCTTGTGGATGGAGCTTAAAACACTCAAAGTGCTTTTGTCTGCTAAGGGTCTTAATCTTAAAAGAAGGTAACAGATAGCCCCTGAGTAAAGCCAGACAGTATAGCTTCTCCAAAGGCTCAGGCGTGCCATCATACCACTATCTCAAAAGTTCAGGGTATCAAGTCAGTGTAATGCAGTTGAGACCTCATTTTAAAGGATATATACTGGTCATTCAGGTCTGTCCCACCAATAGAAGCAAAACAACGCATCAAAACAATTTGCTTTTATTCCCCCTTCTCAGGACCTTCTCAGCTCTAGTGGTCTAGTTAAGAAGGTCCTCTTCTTAGAGGCCTAAATGACATTGATGCTGTTCTCCTTCTGGTGCTAGGCTATAATCCAGCTGTTCACCCAAGCATTTGAAGCCTGACTGAAGTCATGGTTTGGTTTTATTTTTGTTCTTTATTAAGTGGAGATTCACTTTACATAAAATTCTAGATGAAAAGCAATGCTTTCCCTACTCTAAAGGAGTAACATGGGTCTATTTTCACTGTGCCTACAGCAGGTTTGTGCTAGTGATTTATGGTTGACTTAGGAGCTTCTGGACAAGTCTTCACATAGTCAAAAGTTTCCAGGTGATGACAACTGCTATTGTTTTTAAGCTAGAAAACCAACTTCAGTCTTTCTGTTCATTCACCCACAAAGATATGGAGCATAGCTCATTTTTTGAAGCCACAAGGATAAAAGGAAATTATTGAACTTCCTCAAGTGCTGTAAAAATTGTCAGAAAGGGAGTGAGTTATTGATTCAGGCCTATACATAAGGGGTGTCCAACCGCAGTTCCTTTCTCAGAATCCCCTGCTGACCACCTTTCCCTCTGCATTAAGCCCAAATACCTGTGCTTCTCTCCAAAGTCCTTCTCAGAATGGCAAGGCAACTACTTCCTGTTGCTATTTTGAGAAGAATCAGAGAAGGGGAAAAATAGATATTTGGAGGCACACACTGAGCATTCCTTATCTGGAACTGTAAAGTCCGAAATGTTCCAAAATTGGAATTTGTCCACGTGGATGGCTGAGATCGTGACATCTTTGCTTTCTGATAGCTCAGTATCCACAAACTTTGTTCCATGCACAAAGCTGTTGAAAATATTGTATATAATTTCCCCCAGGCTATGGTGTAAATGAAACAAAAATGGATTTCATATTTCAACATTGATCCCATCTCCAAGATGTACATACGAGGGGCATTTTTTAAGTAAGGTCCGTTTGAACATAAGTACACAATGAAAGTTTATTTCAAAAAAGTAAATTTATTTTTAGAAATTACATACTTCACTCTATTTTTTGACATAGTTGCCAAGTTTATTCAAACACTTATCATACCTCTGAACCAATTTTAAAATACCCTCTTCATAAAAACTTGCCGCCTGCTGAAGCCACCAAATCGTCTGTAATCAAAGAAGGGCGACCGGAGTGGTCCTCATCATGGATGTTGTCATGGCCATCTTTGAATTGTCGTATCCACTTACGCACTTTGCTTTCACTCATAACAGTATCACTGTACACTTCACAAATCTGTCTATGAATTTCTGCAGCAGGCAGGTTCCTTGCTGACAAAAACCATATCACTGAGCGAACCTCACATGCGGAGGGTGAGTTGATAGTCTTAAACATTTTTAAAGCACAGAACAGAACCGTACAGGTTAGCTACAGAGCGGAAACTGAGCACAGTTGTTCCTGAGGCATGCCGGTACACGACGCACGTGCTAGTTGCGGTATGCGTGCAAACTACTAGTGTCTACAACAAAACGGACCTTACTTAAAAAATACCCCTCGTATATGCAAATGCAGATATTCCAAAAAACAAACAAAGTAACGAACCCAAAACATTTCTGATTCTAAGCATTACAGATAAGGGATACTCAACTTGTCCTGGGGTGGTTTGGGTGAGTAGGTGGGATGTTTAACACATTTGGAGGGCTGTCTGTGCGGTTGGGTTCAAAATGTGGCCAAACATTATACTGATTTCTTTCTAAATTTGCAGGGCTTGGAGGAACTGGAGGGAGCATAAAAGGTGCAGCTATGGGACACATATGGCCTATGCCTTTACTATGTGCACCTTCTTGCTATATATGAGATTGACTAAAAAAAAAAGGATACCTGATTGCAGGCCTGAGTAAGTTAGTGGTGGGCAGGCAGCAAGCTGTTGCTATTGGGAGACCTAGTAAAACTGCGTCAGTCACCTTGAGGCTTGTGACTATGTGGAAGCTTAATCCAGGAGCTCCTGTGTGGTGTGGATTTTAACTATGAAAGCAACAACTATATCACACTGTTAAGGTTTTTAAACAAAGCCCTTCTTTTCTGCCCTTTCCCTTCATTCTGCTTTACAGGTACTTAAAATCAAAATTACTCCCAGAGGAAATTCCTGGAAGCCGGAGGCGCTTATTTTTTGTTTTGTTTTCTGTGGGTCTTTCATGATAAGAAGAAAAAGACCAATGCACATTTATATAGCTTTCTGATAGCATTAAAAACCAATGCCATTTGGGGCTTTTTTTTATTTTGGTGTATATATCTTATTGAAAAAAAGGAAAAGAACGAAAAGAGAGGAAAAGAAAAGGCAAAGTTACACTTTATTTTGTGTATAATGACTTCAAAAGTCTCATTTTTAATTTTATTTTATATGTTAATGTTAAAGATAATTTTCTAAAACTGAAGCTGAGCTTTCGATGCCAGATTGCAATCCTCTTGGGACTATTACATCTAGCACTAAATGTTTTGGGGTGTTCTCCCCGGTTTGTTTTCTTTATATATATAAAAACCCAGTATGTGTTCTTGCAATAATGGATCAGGCAAACAGAACCTTTCCCCATTTTTTAAAAAAACAATTATTGTGAAATTATGTGTTGTATATATAAAAGATTTTTATATTGGAGGTGAGTGGAACCATCTGTAAATCGACCCACGATAATTCTCTACAGAGGAATAAATAATTATATTCAAAGTGACTACATTTTTAGGCTGTGATGTGCTATAATTTAAGGCAAAAGAGTGCACTTCATGCCATTCATGCTCAGATAGTAATACAGTACAACCTCCATATCTTCCTGGAACCTTTTATGGAAACTTCTCTAGGAATTTGCTACATCCTCAAGGCCAAGTGTATGGTAACTTCTAGTGGAAGCATACCCAGGAATTAGCTATAGGACCTAGAAAAGTCCTAGGTAGGACAAATCTTTTCAGATGTCGGTAACTGAAGTTGCAGTTACAGGGGTTGTACTGGACTGAGCATTAGGCAGAAATCATGTAGTCTAGTGAGATGAGTGCATCCAGGGGACTTGGATGCCAAGTTTCTGCTTCTGATGCTGCACTTCTAAGCGCCCCAGAAAGAGATGCAAGTCTCCCTCAGTGGTTTTCGTTAAGTTTGTTGGGACCTGAATGCACACAGTGATGTGAATTTGGTTGCACATTGGCAAAGTGTGCTGATTTGCCACGTCAGAGTTGGGCAACTCTCTCTTGACCTCCACTCTCCATTGATCAAATGGAGGGAAAGTGACCTACCTACCTCACAGGGTTGTTGTGAGGATGAATCTAATAAAGATAGTAAAGCACTTTTCAAATTATATGGTCTGCAGAGTGAATAGCTAAATGCACAGTGAGGTATCCTGTTTGGTTTGTACAGGGAGAAACTACTGCTCGGTGGTGAAGAATTTCCTTCCGATTCAGAAAGGCCCAGGTTTGACCTTCATTTGAAAGCAGCACAAATAGTTGGAATGGAAAAGAACTGGATCACAGATTGCTGCCAACTAGATAGTGCTTGGTAGATGAACAAACAAATAGGTCAACTGCCATCTACGTCAACCTATTAGACCAGTCACAAAATTGTGAATAGTAGTAGATGATGGAACAATGAATCCATGCTGGGTTGTTGAAATATCAACAGAACTGTCCAAGCACAGACCTTCTGTGGAGAAAGGGTTTATCATCTTGGATAAGGCTCCTAAAGTTCAGACTGAAACCAACATGGCACTGCATCACATTAAATAAATACATAAATATTCCACTATTGATGAAAAACAAAATCAGCTAAATAATAAAAAGATTACAAAGAAACATCGCTATTAGAAATACCCATTTATAACTGTTTTGAACACATTGAAAACAGAATTTAAAAGAAAGACAAAAGTACAGCAATGTGCAATGGAGGGACCCTTAGCCACAACCGGTATTAACTGCCGATGACATGTCTAAATGAGAAGATTGTCGCCTGTTAATGGAAAAGTGGGCAGAACAAGTTCCTAGATACTTTTGAATATATCCCATACTTTGGAGACAACCACCAAGAAGGCCCACTTCTGTGCAGACAAGCAATGTCCCAGTAATGGCAGTGGGATTTCTTGTTCGCTTCAGCTTTTGCGTCTTCCCCTAGTTTGCAGGCTTATTGCATGCTAGCAAGATATCTTGGTATTCAATTGGGAAAATATAATAAGCTTAGAACAACAAATACAGTTACTTGAAAAGAAATGTGGTTCTGTAGGACCTGGACAGAATGGTGTGGAACCTGGCCTTAATAATTGGACGATGACTCTGGAAACCAACGTTTGAATCCCTGCTTAGCAATGGTAGCCCACTGGGTAACCTTCAACAAGCCATGTTCCCTCAGCCTCTGAGGAAGGCAAAGGCAAACTCCCTCTGAATGAAGCTTGCTGAGTAAACCCTGTGACATGTTTGCCTTAGGATCTTCGGTTGGAAATGACTTCACGGCACACAACAATAAAAGCAGAATCATGGAAGAAGACTTTCATCATCAAGCCCCCTAAGACAAAGTGTCAGGTTGATATTTTCTACCCAGACTGGCCCCATCTTCCCCATGCTGGGCGAAGCACATTTAACAAACCTATACAGGTACCAGCTGGCTATATGGCCAACTACATATGAGACCGGGTGGGCAATGGTGTGATTTTTGGAAGCGAAGGATCAATTTTTGGAACCTCTATAGGCTCTCTAGGATGCCCAAAATGCTCTCAAAGTCCAAAACAGACTTTTGAAAAATGATTAAAAACATTATTAAAGATCATAATAAAACCATTATTAAATAGTACTCTAAAATCATAACAGTAAATAAAGAATAATACTCAAAAATGGGAATCAGGGCCAGCTAATCACCTCCCAACAAAGGATTCCCTCAGGCACTAAGAAACCTGACCTTGAAACTCCTGGGCCATTAAATGCTAATTAAGGTGGCCAATGGAAACATGCACACCTACCTCAAACAGACAAGAGTTCCTTCTCCCACCCTGCACTTTCCACAGATATAGAAACCCCATTTTCCTAGTTTCCAACAGACCTCACAACCTCTGAGGATGTCTGCCATAGATGCAGGCAAAACGTCAGGAGAGAATGCTTCTGTAACATGGCCACACAGCCCAGAAAACTCACAACAACCCACTGATTCCAGCCATGAAAGTCTTCGACAATACAAAGAGTTATTGGGAAAATGTTTGAAGGGGTTGAGGGGCACAAAACATCTTTACCTAACCTCATTTTTAGGTCTTCAGGTCATTAAAGTCACTCCTCTTTTAGGAGTCAATATCTGTAGAACTGTTCTCCAATACCACATCACAAATGTTTTTTTTTTCTTAATCAGCTTTCTTCACTGTCAACCTTTACAACCATACGTAGCATACCAAATGCTTCAGAGATCCGCCTGTTTTTTTAAAAAATAATTTATTTTACAGAAAACACAAGAAATAACATTCATGAAAGTTGTAGTTTGGAGAGGCAACAACACTCTTTGGCAGAGAGATCTAAAGACCTTGTGAAACTACAGCTCCAATGTTTCCATAGCTTTGGGTCATGGCAGTTAATGTGGTGTCAAACCATTAATTCTCAAGTGTCAATGCGGTCACCCATTGTTTGGAGGGGAGCTAGTTGAGGAATCCTATTTTTGCAGATTCTGATGCTAATTCCCTCCTGGGTTTATATATGAATCAAAATGTGATAACCTATTTATTTTACCCTTTTAAAAATTGCAATGCCGTTTTCAGGTCAAAAGAGAAAAAAGGTAAGAAAACAGGGTATCGATAGACCGGAAGACAGACAGAGAAAACATATGTTCTATGGAAGCAAATCAAAATTTTATTGAAATCATCATCATAGGCAATAACTCCAGCTTGAGTATGACTGTCTTCCAGGGGTAGTCTTGGTGGTGGGTCCATAAGTGACTGTAGAGACCTATTCTGGATCTGCATGTTCTTTGACAGTTGGGACATACATTTCCAGAGGGAAGGTGGTCCCGACAAGTATTTGTGATGTGCCTTCTTGGTACATTTTCCCAATTTCACCCTCCATTCATGCCTCTACAAAATCCACAGTACTGTTAGTAACAGCTGACCTACAGTTAGAAAAGTCAAATGCCAGGGCTTCCCAGTTCTCTGAGTTTATTCCACATTTTCTTAGGTTCGTTTTAGGTCTATTGGTTAATCTCTTTTGCTGTCCACAGATATTCCATTTTCTGTTCTTGAACTGAGAGTAAATAACTGCTTTGGGAGACATTGATGGGCATTCAAACAACCTGGCCAGTCCAGCGAAACTGATACTGGAGGATTATTGTCTCAGTGCTAGTGCCTTCTTACAGAACACTGATGTTCGTCCCCCCGACTTCATTTAAAAGCACACAGTTAAATGTGGATCTTTGTGCAGAAAATTGCAGATCAATGTGAAAATAAGAAGAGAAAGATTTGTGATTCCATACATACAAAACTGTCATAGATTGACAAATAGCTGGGCAGCTCATCCTGCATTTGTGGCAAGGTGTTTAGCAACCTGTCTTTCCATTGAGGTTTTCCATTGTGATCCCCACCAACTGTGATCAGGCCTATTGGGAGAAAAGCAGATTGTGAAATGCAGTCCATGGAAACACATAATTTTTCTAGTCTCAAGCTGATGAGCCTTTCAGGAGTTCTTGGTTGCTGCAAAGACATCCTTGTTGCATGGTGATTTTTCATAAAAGCCACCTGTAGCCAACATATGGAGGTGGATAGATTCTAGCGGTTTTATAATAATGTACATTGAACTCTGGCTGTTGGAGCCGTTTATCTTAGACTCCACTCTTTTCAGCAGTCTCTCCTGATCTGTTGTTTCCAAATAAAGCATTGATCATTACGCGCCTCAAAGTCTTGTAAAGCAACCTGTTTGGTGGGTTTACCTCTCCTGCGGTGATGAACCTTTATCCATCCTGAGAAGACATAATGGAAGGCCATGGAAAAGACATCCAACAGTGGCCTGGGGGAACATGAACCTTTGGCACATTCAGTATAGGCGTCTATGGTATAATTAGCCAAAGAAGAAAGCTATGATTAACCAATGATAGCGATACAGATACATATATACAGCCACCTTGAGTCTCTATATCAGGAAAAGTTGGATAAAAATAAATCTATGGAGAGAGAGTCAGACAGATAGATGGGTTTTACCCAGCAGTGCCCAGGGTGATGCTAATGACATTGCTTTTGAGCAGCCACCTCTCCACAAAAGTCATGATTGACACCGAAATACAACACTGCCTGAGTTCTGTGAGTGTAGCATTTTTCCAAATGAAGCAGAGAGTGTTTCAGAACCGGGATGTCCGTAAGGAGACCAAGGTGCTTGTTCATAAAGCTATTGTCCTCCCAACCCTGCTATATGCCTGTGAAATGTGGACTGTCTACAGACGTCACACTCAACTCCTGGAATGATTCCATCAGCATTGCCTCCAGAAAATTCTACAAATCTCTTGAGAAGACAGGTGAACAAATGTCAGCATGCTGAAAGAAGCAAAGACCACCAGGATTGAAGTGATGCTCCTATGCCATCAACTCTGCTGGACTGGCGACATTGTCTGAATGCCCAATCACCATCTCCCAAAGCAGTTACTGTACTCCTAACTCAAGAACGGGAAACATAATGTTGATAGACAGGAAAAGAGATTTAAAGATGGGCTTAAGGCCAACCTTAAAAACTGTGCCATAGACACTGAGAACTGGGAAGCCCTTGAGTGCTGTAGCTGGAGGTCAGGTGAGACCAGCAGTGCTGCAGAATTCAGAGAGGCACGTGTTGAAAGCGAAAGTGAGAAACATGCCAAGAGGAATGTGCGTCAAGCCAACCCTGACCGGGACACCTAGAAACCAATGTTCTCACTGTTGGAAAACAGTCAGATCAAGAATAAGGTGCCACAACCACCTACGTACCAACCACCAAGACACCAGACTTGGAGGCCCATCATTCTCGGGCTATGAGGGATTGCCTAAGTAAGGTGGGATATAAGAATACTATTATTATTATTATTATGGAAACCCTAAGGAGAACCTGTCATGCAATATTCTTGGCCGAATTTATTCAGAGATTATTTGCCTTTGCTTCTCTGGGCCTGAAAGTGTGTGAGATGTCCAAAATCCCCCAGTAGGTTTCCATGACTGAATTTAAAACAATACTTTAAATAATTTTGTGTATGAACCAAAGTTTGTGTATATTGAAACATCTGAAAACAAAGGTCTCACTATTTCAGCTACCTACGTAGACAACTTTGGATTTTGGAGTATTTTAGGTTTTGAAGGTGCCCCCGGTGGTGCAGTGGGTTAAAGCA